ACACTGAGGTTCAGTGAGGTTAAGTAGTTTCCTCAAGGTTACATAGCTAAAGAGTGTCGCCCAGGTCTTTCTGATTTGAAAGCCAAAGTACTTTCCACTATAATTGTCCAGGACACTAATATCGTCTGAGTGTCTTCTCCAAAACTCATGTTGAAATTTAACTAATATAACAGATACCTAGAGGTGACTAGGCCCCGAGGACTCTGCCCTTTTGAAAGTATTACATCATTATTTCAGGTGTGAGTTCCTAGGCAAAAAGATAAATTCAGGTCCCCTCTATCCTTTCTCTCTTGCCCTTGGTCACACTCATTTGACACATAACTCCTTCTGTCATGAGGTAGCAAGCAAACCCTCACCAGATGCAGCCTCCAGAACCAGGAGCCAAATAAATTTATTTCTTTATAGATTACCCAGTCAGCTATTCTGTAGTAGCAGCAGAAAATAAACTAAGATAAATACATTACCCAGCTACCTGGCCCAAGACCTAAGGTTCTATCTAATGTCTGGTATAAAACAGATAGGAGTAAGGTGGGTCCCCCTTCTGCCTCTCCAGAGTATCTGAAGATGGAAATGGAGTTATGTGTATACATTTCTCAGTCAGTCAATCAGTTGTGGAAGGGAGAAAGAAAATGTACAAAGAGGATCTGCCCAAACTGTGGAGAAATTGGCAACATCCAGTTAATCTCAAAAACCTCTGAGACAAGAAGCCTGTGTCTGAGGCCATAGTTTCGAGCTTAATTTTCCAACGCCCTTAGCTAAGCCTCATGGCCAGCTATTCCCCTTTGTCAGCACCAACACAAGATTCAGGTGCCCTGAGAGGACATGAGTCCCACTGCAGTGCCAGGAAGGATGGAGCCAATAGTCAGGCCAGCTGGTGGCTGTGATTCTCTTTCACTTCCCTCCCAAGCTGACATCCAGCACATGCTCAGGCATATTTCCATCGCCTTATCCCTACACTGAACAAAAGTCTGAAGTGTCCCTGGTCTCATGTCATTTTATTCTGTACAAGAGTCATTGTCTAACAAATGTGAGCCTATATATACAACTTTGAGGCAATTCACATAATAAAATCACAAGTCAGTAAGTCTTTCCTTGGACAGTATCTGAGCCCCAACTTTCATCTGGAAAATATAGGCACCATATTCATGAGAGAAGCATGCTCGGTTGAGAGACAGTGAAAAAAGTGGCTGGTTTTCAACATGTTACCCAAGCTTGCAGAGATATGCCCTAAACCCAGAGAATTATCCTACGAAACTCTGCCATTTTGGAGTATCCATTTGACCTCTGGGGCACCAGTTCTCTGCACATAGTCTAAAATCCTAGAAGCCACTGTTGCCTGGGGTTTATAGCTCTATCACCCAAGCCCAAAGCTGCGAGTAGAGGTGAGTAGCACTAACATTCTCTGTCCTCTAAATAGCTCAAGGTGCTTCCTAATGTTCACCTGGCATAGGCGCTAATAGTCTTCTAAGACTTCCTCCACACATTCTCTGTGCCAGTGAGCTCACCAAGGCCCGGGGAAAGTTTAGTTGAAACTACGAACAGCCTAGGGTCTCATGGAGCCCTCCCTCTGTTGGGCCAGCACAATGGAAAGATAAAAAGGATGACACAGGAGACAACTAATGCACCCACACTGCAGGGACTTCCAGGGCTCAGGGCCTGCTGGCAGGCTGGGACCACAACAGGAAGGAGCCGCTTCCTCCCCTAGATGAAGGCCCCCTGACACACAGCCCATGTAAGTACCTGGAAATGGCCCCACATCCACATAAAGGCCAGCCCACTCCCAAAAGGCTTGTTTCTCTACCGCGCTGGCTGTGACATCATTTCATTCATTACAGTCTCCTGAGGGGCTGACCTTACCATCCGGAAAACATGTGTCCTGCCTTTGACAAACACCCCGAGCAGAAAATGTGAGTTCTGGGTAAAATGGCTGTTACCCGAGGGTGGCATTGATTTTAATTGTGGCCTTAAATATTTCAAGCACTCTTCTGGTACAGCAAAGGGCCTTACAATGCGAATGATATCTCTAATTATAAATTAGCAATTTGAGGCTTGGCAATCTTTCAGGATTAGAAAATAGTCCTATTTTATCTTAGAAGAGTGCTTCTTGATCAATGAAAGCAGTCCCTCAAAAGAGGAACACATTCTCACTTTTTTCTTTTTTTAGATTTTCCTTTCTAAAATAATAACTTAAAGGACCAAGACCTGCCTAGAGCAGTCAGGGAGATTATGAGGAGCATCCTGCCATCAAAAGTGAAGCTGGTGCTCAGTGCTACTCTGGGCCAAGGTTTCTTAAGCTCAGCACAGTCTTGTCAGAGGCTGGATAATTCTTTGTCTTAGGAAGCTACATATTGTGGGAAGTATAGTTATATCCCTGGTCTCTACAGATGAGGTCTGTAGTGGTTCCCAAATTTGGACAGCCAGATAGATCTCAGCCATCACCAAATAATCCCGAGTGGGCAAAAATCACCCCCTATTAAAAAATCCCACTGGCTCTCAGGGTTTTCCTTTCTCCCTCAAGCACGCCATGCCTGGACTGAATTTTTAGCTTTGATGGCTCTGTCTAACTGAATCGGACTATAGCACCAGCCAGGGGAACTTGGATTATTGGACTGAGCCCAGTGTGCTGAGCTCTGAACCCTGAGGCTCCCATGGCCCTAAAAAGACACTGGATACCTGGAACGTCGACTGCCTTGTCTTTAAAAGTTTATAAAACTCTGCTCATTCTTCTGCCAAATCTTAAACTGAGATGCAGATTGTGAGGTTTGCTCACTAGAATTGCTAGTGCCAACTTGCCATGGTTATACTTTGAAGATAATTTATAGATGCTTTGACTGTTTCTTATAGTCCAGCTTAAGATCGTAAGTTATCTATTAGAGCTGCTTTATTGAACTTGAACTTGTGCTGATAAATGTTATTGATTTGTTCTGTTTTCTTAAAGCAGAGAAGTTAAGGACTTGTTCGTTTGCCATATGGTTCTGAAGGGTGGTCTGACTAGTTCCATGATGGAAAAACTGAGCTCCAGCGAGGTTATGAGTGATGGTGCTGGAACGATATCTTAGCAGCTCTCTTGTGCAACTCAAGCAGCTTTGAAATTTGTGGTGAAAAGGATCTCACATGTTGATAATATTTTTCCAGATATAACTATGTGGGTGGGGGTCTTTGTTTTGAAACCAGTGAAACTATTCAAAATACATTAAAAATATTTACTGTAGGGGCTGGGGATTTAGCTCAGTGGTTCCTACACTGGCCTCACAAGCACAAGGTTCTGAGTTTGATCCCCGGTACCATATATATATATGTGTATATATATATATATATATATATAGAGAGAGAGAGAGAGAGAGAGAGAGAGGTAGTATTCATTTGGAAGTAGGGCTCTTTAGTTGAAAACATGCAATTAAAAAAAAAAAAAGAAAGAAAACATCTATAAGTTCCAGATACCCTCTCTAGGCTAATATCATATTATACTTACAACCCAAATGGTTATATTAGATTTTTTAATTTAAGTGTCTTTAAAAAGTATGTATTCATAAGGCATTCTTCACTTAGAGAAGATATTCATCTTGCTTGATTATAGTACTGATAGAATTAACATAGGCCAGTTTTAAATGGTCATTTCCAATCCAGTGACACATTGGTCCTCCTATTACACCATCTTTATTTTAACAATCCTCTACAATATCATCTTTTTAAAAAATGAACTATAATTTGTGTAGACCTTAGATGATAACCTTTCCCTGAAAAGCAGGAGGATATTTCTGCAGCCCTTCACATGGCTTTCAACTGCAAGTCCCTTGACAATTTCTACTAGGCAAACCTCAGTGACTGCTTACCTGGGTTTGTGTATGTGGATTTTTAAAAACATATTTCTGATGTAATTATGGTCTAAATCTTTTTCTGATTCTAATTTTTTGGAATCAAGTTGGTGTTTCCATGAAAACAGAAGCCATTTTAAAAAATAGTGTCTGTTTCAGAACAGCCAGCAAAGACAGACGTGTTAACCATCCTTACACTACGTATTTCACCTTGAATATACAATAGCTTTTGAGCAATTGATTTTTCAGTACTCCACAAAAATTCAGATCTTGTAATATCCAATTATAGTGCACAGTTATAGATAAAAATTACACAGAACCTCTGGTAGGACACAGTCGAAGGCCAAAGTCAGAAAAGAGCTCATATTAATTGATATCTACTTAGATGCATGAATGTACTGGGAAGTGTTAAGAATAAACTCGTCCATCCAATTCCAGAGTCAATAAAAAGAAAAACAAATTTAATGATAACTATTTCTGTATAAAAACCTACAGAATTTAGAAAGAATAATTAGCAACGTATCTGTTAACATTTAAACTTCATTTTATAACTGGAACTGATCAGCGACAGCATTTCAGGACCTTCCATATAGTACATTTTTAAAGGATTTTCCTAACCATTTTAGTAAACAGCATATAGAATGGTCAAGGATCTTCTTCTCTATAAGCAAAAATACAGAGTCCTAACCTTCATTTTACCTTTCTTAATCTAAGATTTCATTATATTTCCCCATAAGTTTATTGTCTTTTTATTTCTACTTCCAAATTCTCTGATTAGAAAACTTACATTGTTTTGCTTTTGTGCCTGAATCCCAAGGTAAGTTAAATTGTAATATCAGAAGGCACAAGATACATTCCTATGGGAAAAATCCTCACCAAATGAATGGAGCAATAGATATCAACTGGCTTTGTCTGTGAATCATGTTTGAGTCACATTTTCTGAAACTCATACACATTTTTTTAAAAAAAATTCAACAAAGCCATGAGACTTGGATTGCTACTTTGTATGCTGATAAAACAGAGATAATCTCACAATTGATCTCCTACAAAAGATTCAAAGCTAAGACCAAGTTGGTGTTCAGGTCATTGGCTTCTCTAAGCAGAAGTCAGGAAGCTGGAAGCCAGGGAAAGGGAGTGTAGAAGGCTGAGTGGGTAAGAAGGGGAAGGGAAGGACCCACCACTCACCGCCACTGCAGGACGAGACGCTGGGTAAGGGCCAGGGCTGCTCATGGCTGAATCCACAAAGTAGTTCATTCTGCTCTCAGCACCTGTGCAGGAGAAAGCGTTGGCTGAGCCACTGGATGCACGTGGGTGTGTAGACAAGACTCCAAGGAGCATGAGGATCTTAAAATAGTAGCTTCCCTAGGAGTGTGAAGCAGAGAAGGAAACTGAAATTCAGAAATACAGGTGACAGACCTAGGCACACAGGGTACAGCAGACCCTAGACAAAGTCAGCCCCCCGACTGCAAGGCAGCGTGGACAATATATTGTGTCTGCATGCTGCACACAGTGCTCAGTGAGAGGGTCTACGAAAACCACTTTTAATAGGATTCCTGAACAGGGACCTCATCTTCTGTGTTTTTAAATTAAATCTCCATCTATGTATCACCTGCTCCACTTCCCCTACCAGGCCTGGAACATAGCAGGAATTCAATACAAAGTTATACCATCAATTAATTGATAAAGAAACAAATAAAAGATTGGAAGAAAGAATGAAAGCATATCAACCACCACCTCAAGGTGCAAGCATCTAGAAGTCTTGCAAGAAACAGAACAGGGTTCATCTTGAAAACAGGAGAAAGGCTATTAAATAATTCTTGCTGAGAGTTATTATCTGCATTGAAAATCTCAATAACTAGAGTGCTTGAGCAATGTTCTGGCTAGAGAGATTTTCCAGCTAGCTCCTAGTCATCAAGAAAATTTTTTATATATCAAAGATTTCTGTCTACTTAAATGCTTTCTAAAGTGCATTAGTTCACAACCTTTCATATATTCAAAACTACATACTAAAAATATGTCTTTCCTGAATAATTTAGAAGATTAAATTCCTAGGCACCACATCATTCAGAGGCCAAATTCCTATTGTTAGGAAGTGACATTTCAACTTCATTGCCTTTCAGTTTGTATTTGTCCTTTCTCTTTATTCTTGTGGAGATTTAAAGCAATCAATACATTTCTAGAAAAGTAGGGTACTAAGATTTTATGTTCAGTTTGCAGTGATGGTTCACCGTCTTGATACCTCATGACAGACAATCACTTGTCTACTTTCATATGGTATGTATTTATATTTTTTTGGTACTGGGGATCGAACTTGGGTCCTTGAGCTTGTGCAGCAGGCGGCGAAACCACTGAGCTAAATCCCCAGCCTATGGCATGTATTTAAATAAGAGTTAAACATATTCTGCAATAGAAAATTATTCCAAGAACTTCAATGGTTGAGTCACTAATATAACATGGTTCAGAGATGTAAATTAAAAACTTTCTTAAATCTTAACTTATCCTAGAATTGTTTTAAAATTACATTATCTTGTTTTCTCCCAAAGATAGAATGTAATCCAAATAATATTAATTTAAAAATAAATTAATTATCTAAGGATTCTGGGTAGCTTGGCTATGTTAATCAAGATTTCACTCTCTAGTTTTTCAGGGAATTGAGCTCCACTGCTCCACTGCAGCAAGTGACCCGAGGAAGAGCTCACCAGAGGTGAGGCCGAAGGAGGAAGGTGCTAGTCCTCAGCAGTTGCCTCTTCAGTGCTTCTTTCTAAAAACAGTGGACAGATGCGTACCATGCTTCAGACTGTGAGCTGAGCACTGAACAGGGACTAAGATACATGTAACACAGGTCAGCAGAAACCTGTCTCAACTCTAAATTGTGAAGATGATCTTGATGGGCCCAACCAAACATTACTTATTTTTAATCATAAAATTGAATTTCAAGGTCCTAATGAATCAACATCAAACCATGTATCTCCACGTCAACATTGTGACCTACTCATGGATGAGACTTACAACACTGACTCTACCATACTGATAATGGCTTAATCATGATCAGATTCCTTAAGGAAAAGTTGACCAGTTGTCCAGGGTCCCACAGGACACTTATACCTGTTGGGAATGACTGGGTATGGGAGGAGCTACAAAAGCAGTTCAACCTCCTGATTCCCTCCCAAAAAGCATGAAACAGCTGCTGAGTCCTCACAGAATTCGGTTATCCCTTCGACAATCCTGAAGTAGGCTTCCTTTGCTGGGAATTTGTTTTTCTCTTTCAACAAGGACTTGCTATGTGTTTACTGTGAGCCAGGCACTGTTTTGTGTCCTTGAGTAAACAAAGACTCCTGACCTCATGGGTCCTTACATTCTACCAGACTCTGGAAAATGAAGCTGAGAAAGACAGAGTCTCTGCCTCCGGGCAGTAGAAAAGACACACTCACAAATAACTATAACAAGGTCTGGGGATTTAGCTCAGTGGTTTCGCTGCCTGCTGCACAAGCGCAAGGACCTGAGTTCGATCCCCGCTACCAAAAAAACAAAACAAAACAAATAACTATAACATAATTCGATGAGTAGTTTGCCAACAACATGGAAAAAAAAGAAGCAGTCAGTTCTGCTGGGCCCTGGGGATAAGAATTTGTGGAAGACTGCACAGAGGGAGGTGTGACCACATGGCCCTATGAATCTTGCTGGGACTCCCACAAGCAGCAAAGGACCTTTCCCCTTCTGAATGTCTATTTTACTTACATATTTGTGAAAGAAAGGACTTTTGGAATTGGCAGCAACATCCTGGAACCCAGCTCAAAGACACCAAGAGTTTCTGTCTGCAGCCAGACAACACTCCCCCTTATAGCCACATGCTTGGATAAAGGCTCAGTGGAAATACTTTTTCTCTTCCAATCAATTGACAGAGTGAAGGAGGAAACCTCTGGCCCAACATCTGGTGCATTCTGTGCTGGACCATATTCTCTGCTATATGAATGACACTTTCCTTGGGGAAAAGCCCTTTGCCCAGGGAGGAAACTGAAAAGAGGGAGTTGCCAGAGCTCTCAAGAGCTCTCATCTCAGGAAATAACCCTGGGACAGAAATGGATTGCTTCTTTATTATTTCTTGGAGAAAGAAAAAAAGAACCCACCCTTTTTCCACTTGTAGACTGTGACACAAAACAGCTGCTGGAGATCTAAACCCTTTCAGAAGACTCAAAAGGAGTGTTCGAAGATTTTTGTGTGGGGGTTTTGTCCCACTTCCCTGGCTTTTTGGCCAAAAAGAATTCCCTCCTACACGACAACTGATTGACCATCAGCTGGACCAGTGTTTTCTTGGCACTGCACATGTTTATTGCCTAAATGGAAAACAACTGTGTGATTTTAAGATCTACTCCCCAGCTAAGAAGCAGCCATGAGACCTGTCTGGGTGTAGAAATGATTTGAAAACTTGGTAACAGAGGGCTGTGAAGAGCTGTGTTCATTTTTCATGAATGAAAGCAGCACCACCCAAGCGGCAAAGTACGTGGATCCCAGGCAAGACTGCCAAGCTCATCCACCCACTGACCCATCCACACACCCTCCACCAATCCAGCCCTACACTCATTGTGCCCCACAGCACCTCGGAACTAAATGTACAGCTCTCTGTTGTTCTCATGAGGACAAGGTGCCAATTTTCACTTCCATGCCTATCTCATGTTCCAAGTCTTCTAGAAAGGCACCTCCGTCCTTCCCTCCTGCTCCCCAGGTCTTGTGAGCCCCTCCTCCTGGAGGTTTAGGATCCTTTAGGAAAGTCTCACTGCCTGGAGCCCTTCTTGAACCATACTTCACCTCCACCACAGCCAGCTGCTCCTTTTCTGTGTTTTCCTGCACATTATCTGTGCCTATCATACTGTTCCACCAATGTCTGTTTCTATTTATCTCCAACTAGATTCTGAGCTCCTGGAAAGTAGGCACCATGCCTTTTCCACTTTCACATCTGTAGCACTTAAGAGAGACCCTTAGGCATAACAAAAGCTCACAGTTTTTAAATCAGTGAATGAATGAATGAATTCATGAGACTCCCAAAGGCAGATCAGAGGTGAATGCATTTATTTCTCAAACCAGAGACACTGCATAGATTACAAGTCTGGTAAAGATCCTAGAAATAGGGAGTCTATTTCATGGTCCCTTTCTCAGTGAAACCTGCTTCCTCCCATTCACATGGCCACTTGATGTCACCTTACCTGAGAAGCATTTTCCCACAGCATTTCCTCACATCCCTCTCTCCAATTGGATCTGTCATTGCTTATTGTCTCCCCCAGATCAGGATTTTAGTCCTTTTCTGTACGAGTATCCCAGTATGCCAAGGTTGGCAGATGGTTGGCACACAAATGATTGCTGACTATCAGAGCCTAAATTAGAAAATTTGTACATAGCTGTTAACTCATGTATGTCCCCTTTCCACAGATTAGGAAAACTAAGGCCATACTGTTAATTGGCCTGGCTGAGATTGGCTTGTTTACTTTCATTGTCCTAGATTTGAGGGACAAAAGTCAGCGATCAATGGAGAAGACAGAAAGCACAGTTTGGTTTGTGTGTGCATCTCATGTCCCCCAAATTCCAATAGCACTAATTTCCACTTTGACAGTAGAAAGAATTGTACTGTTCACAAAGCTTGTGACCACTTCTCCACTTTCCCATCCTGTAACCAGCCAGGATCCACAGGCTGACACTTGCTTTTACCCATGTCTCACCAAAGCAGGTTGAGGGATGTACAAAAATGAAGACAAGTTTTAAGGAGGGAAAGGGCTGTTTGGGCCACGGCAGCAGAAGAGCAGGACATCCCAAAGACACGAGGCCTTAATCAAAGTTGGATCCAGTTCACATTAACTCTGACTCACTTGGCTGTATTTCTAGGTAATTGTGACATGAGTTATAGAGTTTTTTCATTTTGGGTTATCTGCTGCAATGTATGACTTTAGATATATAACCCAGTAAACTATATTTTTTTTCTTTCTGAAGTAATTGTTTATGCCAAAATAATACACATATATTGAGAAAATTAAAAAGTACAGCAAAGTCTCAGATACACACTAAAATTACCTTAAATCCCACTCTCCAGAGATAATTATACTAATATTTTGTCCAACATTCTTCTCAGTATTTTAATGTGTCTATACACATACATAATTTTACCTCCATGATTTTCTCTACATGCTCTTTTATAATTTTTTTTTCATTGATATTTGAATGAATGCACTGGGCATTTTTTGGATCAATAAATATAGCTCTATATCCTGAGGTTTAAGAT